TTTTTTTTTTGTCTTTTTCCGTGTCCGGCAACGGATCGCAACCCTCAGTGTTGCCCCCGTACCGGACCGGGACCGGCAACGGGATCGCAACCCTCGGCGTTGCTCCCGCGCCTCACTCAGCCAGTGAGCGGGAACCGGTCTGTATGTGGGATCCAAACCCTCGGAGGGAGCGCTGCCACGCTTCCCAAGCGGCGCACTATCGCAGTGCGCCACCGGGACGGCCCTACAACCACAATTTTTTAAAAAATAAGAGAAAAGGGGGAAAAATGAAAGAGAAAAAAAGTGGAAAAGCCTGAGATCCCCAAAACAAACAAACCAGTCTGAGTACCTGCTGGCAGATAACATTTGACATTCAAAAGCCTGCTGAGGCAAGGAACAGTTCACTGGACACTCAGACAAATCACCAGCAAAGCAAGGCTCTGCAAACAGCACAGGAGGTAGGTCACCCTGTAAGAGTAATATGACCCACCATATATCCATACAGAGCTTTGCCTCTAAAGTAAGATACAGGGCTATACAAAGATGTCTTTCATGCTTCCTAAGACCTAGGTTGCATCCAAAAGTCATTGTATTTCCACGTTCAGGGCTCCTCCAAGAGAAAAGATAGTTAAGTTTCCTTCATACTACATAGGCCAGAATCCTCTTAAACACGGAATTAAGTTAATGGCCATATTTTGGTTTTTGGTTAACAGCAAACCAATGAACTAGTACTGTAGAGAAAAAAGAAGAAAGCAAACACATTTCAGGGTAAAGAACCACGAAAAATCCACAACATGCCTCTTTGCTTTGTAGTTTTTTTAAGAATATTGATTAGTGTCTAAAACAAGTAGAATGGCATTTTTTTCAGAAAACACCTTTAACCATACTTCCAAAGTAATAAACCATGTTCAGTCCAGCCTCTAAATTCATAGCCATAAGTGTACATTACAAGGCAGTACTTCTTTAATATATGAACTTGGGAGACAGATTTTTCAAAAAGTGATTGAAGCCAAATAAGATTTTCTGAAAATAGTTCTCATAAATATAACAAGCGCCACTGAATATAATTTTATTCTAAATTGATCCAGTTTATGTACCATATCTTAAACTTATTTTTATAGGGTAGATAGTTTAGAGCAATGACTCACCATGGTAAATGATCAACAAGGATTTGCTGAATGAATGAATGAGAAGGACCACGCCTTAATTTGAGTTTGTTTTGGTAAGAGAGAGATAGTAACATAGGTTAAAATCTCCTTATTCCCTCTAGATCTATCTGGGCCTTAGTTTGATTGCTACAGCAATAAAATATAATCTAATATCTTTACAATTTAATGTAACAGACACGTTAGATTCTCCCTAGAAAGATAAAAGGAAGAAGGAGAGAGGGAAAGAAAAGGAGAAGAAGAAACACCTTATTATGCTAGAAGGAGCTTCTCCAGTGATGACAAGGGTTAGATCAGACCTCAGACAAGCTGACAGGTGCCAATCTCACTTAACACTCAAGTCTCTACCAAAATTGAGGTGGAATATTCTACTGCTATAAAAATGACCTACACTTGACCCTTTATCTCAAGGAAGATGAGGTAAGCTCACTATGAAGTACAACTTTTCTCGTTTTCCTTCTGTAGTGTTTTACCCAGCATCGCATACTTTCTAAGGCAGGCAAGGGCTGTAAGAGAAAAACACTGCACAGGCAGCAATTCCTAAAGGACTATGTTATGGGTTGAACTATATGCTCCCAAAATTTGTATGTTGAAGTTCTAACCCCCATTACCTCAGAATGTGACCTTATTTGGAGAGAGGGTCTTTGCCGACATAATTACTTATACTGCATACTGCTATCCTTATAAAAAGAGGAAACCTGGACACAGACAGACACACAGGGAGAATGCCATGTGAAGACTGGAGTTATGCTGCCACAAACCAAGGAACTACCAGTAGAAGAGAGGGTGGGAACAGACCTCTCCCTAGCACTTTCAGAGGGAGCATGGCCCCATCGACAGCCTGATGAAGGACTTCTGCTTTCAGAACTGTGAGACAATAAATTCCTCTTGTTCTAAGCCATCTAGCTTATGGCACTTTGTTACCATGGCTCTAGCAAACTAATGCAGACTAAAAGAAGCTAGTGTGTGCCTACTAGCCTACCCCCTTCCCACTGCATTTCAAGTCCAGCCTTCCACCCCACGGCCACTGTCAGCACATTTTCCCAAGCCCCAACACATCACCCTTGAGCTGCTGCAACAGCTCTGGTCTCCCTGCCTTCAGACTGTACCTCAACTTCTTTCAATTATCAAACCTCCCTACACACCACCATGACAACCTTTCAAAAATGCCAACTTCTTCGCATCACTCCTCTGTTAAAATAACTCTGGTGATTCACCAGTCCTATGGGAAAAAGCCCAAATTCTCCTGCCTAGAATTCAGGCTTCTCTCTAAGCTAGCTCCAATTACAGGATTCTCTTGGTGACCCTAGAACATACAATCATTATTCTCACAGCCATGCCTCCTCTGCTTTTCATTCTCCCCTTTCATCAACCCAAATCTTGACCGTCCCATAAAGACTATTGTCAGGACCCACTTTCTCCTTAAAGCTCTCTCTAAATATTCCAGCCTAACACAATGGACACATCTCTGACTCTACGTACTGTCTGACTGCGTCAGTCATTCTGCACTCTCCACAGACTGCATTGTGTACTGACCTGGCATTTGAAAAGGGTACACTTTGATTCCACAGCTGTACTATAAGCTACATAAAGACAGGGCCAGTGCCTTACAATTTTGGAGTTATTTCGCAGAGCCAAAGATAATGCTGGGCATATTATAGGCAACCTCTAAATTCTTGCTGAATTAACTATTAAACATATAATAAAAATTCCTAGAAATGCTATTTTTGACTCTTCCTCCAACCAGGGACTTGAAGTTGGAACAAATCTATAGATTTTGTATAATCCTAATGGTCCCACAAATACAAAGATACGTCAAAAAGTTCATGGAAAAATTGAATTAAAAGTCAATATGAATCTTTCCATGAATTTTCTGAAGTACCTTCAAATGTGAATAATTTAAAACTTAAAAGGAACAGTGGGAAAAAATGACTTTAGTTCCAAGTTACTTACCATTCTTCATCACTACGTTGGACCAGACATTGGCATTTAAGGCTTGTACAATTCGCTTTACTCCTGTAGATTCTGGGAAGTCATCTAATCAGGAAGGGGAAATATATTTATTTATACACACATTGACACATATATACATATACATTCATATATGTATGTATATATCCCCCAAGCCATGGTTTATCAAATAACCATGGTTTATCTTGCTTATTTAGTTGTTCCTTCATACTGTAACAGATGTAATAAGAGAAAAAATAAGGCAAATACAGAGCTTAGAGCTTCTGATAAGAATATTCTAGAAACTAAAACAATTGAACACACAATATAAGAGTTATATAATAAAGTCATCCCCATTGCCTCACCAATGGAATCCACTCACATTCTCCTGAAAATGTAAGATTCCATTAATTACATAATCCTGGCATGGTATTAGAGATACCAACCTTGGTTATCTACAAGAGAAGGGGAAATCCAGACAATAGCAGAAGGCGGTTAATGCAGCACTATGGGGGAAGGGAGGGAATTCTGGGTCTATTTTGGGTTTTGAGTGTCCAAAAGACACCAATAGGTCTGACACACCCCCTGGGATTCCTGGCAATTCAGCCTTAGGTTACTATGAATTCAAAATAAGAAACATCAACTTTAACTGTCTATGAATATAGGTCTAACTTTCCTTCTCTAGCAGTGGGGAAAGGATAAGGGATCGAGGAAATAACAAAGATTTTAGATAGAAATCCTTTGCCGTTCTTTATCCATTAGAAAACAAACATTTTGGGCCGAGCCCGTGGCACACTCGGGAGTGTGCAGCGCTGGGAGTGCAGCGACGCTACCGCCATGGGTTTGGATCCTATATAGGAATGACTGGTGCGCTCGCATAGAAATCCTTTGCCGTTCTTTATCCATTAGAAAACAAACATTTTGGGCCGAGCCCGTGGCACACTCGGGAGTGTGCAGCGCTGGGAGCGCAGCGACGCTACCGCCATGGGTTTGGATCCTATATAGGAATGACTGGTGCGCTCGCTGGCTGCGCGCAGTGTGGGCGGCACCACACCAAGGATTGCGATCCCCTTACTGGTCACGAAAAAGACAAAAAAAAAAAAAAAGAAAAACAAACATTTTTCCAAAGTCCTAAAATGGGTGGTAAAACCAAATCACCACACCAAGGATTGCGATCCCCTTACTGGTCACGAAAAAGACAAAAAAAAAAAAAGAAAAACAAACATTTTTCCAAAGTCCTAAAATGGGTGGTAAAACCAAATAAATGGATTACAACATTAATGGTTAAACCACATCAATGTGGATGATTGGATAAGGATATTGTGGTATATATACACCATAGAATACTACTCTGCCATAAAAAAGAATGAAATTCTCCCATTTGCAACAACATGGATGAGTCTGGAGAAACATATGTTGAGTGAAATAAGCAAAGCATAGAGTGATAAAAACCACATGCACTCACTCATAACTGAGAGCTAAGAGAGAAAGAAGGAAGGATAGAAAGACCAAGGGCTGTGGTGAACTTACAGAGGGAGGGAACATACCTTGGGATACAAAGTGGAGTGGGGGGGAAGAGGGAAAGGGAGGGAGGTTGGGAATAATTGGGTGGGGGACACGGGGTATAAATGTAATTTGTGGTAATGGGTATGCTGCCAGTACAAATATGGCCTTCACATCTTGGGCACGAGGGGTGACAATCAGCTCTGTATCTCATGAATATTCATAACCAATACAAATATAAATAAATAAATAAAAACACATCAATGGATTTTGCTCAAATCTTTTCAAACTCCTGGGGGGAAAATGTTCCTTGAATTTCACTGTTATTCTTCTTCCCTAAATTAAAATGATCTCTCATATCTCAATCTAAATGCCATGCTTTCTACTAACACATAAACACTTACCATCCTCCTCAGGCAACTCCTCTGGACTAAGTTCTACCAATTCGAAGCCATGTTTGATGCACCATTCCTGAGCTTCTTGTCGGTTTACACCTACAGTAATATGCAAAATAATCTTTTTAATAAAAATAAAATAAAACATGAATATCCCTACAATACTGTCCACAAATCTTAATGTGTTTCCCTTTATGTCAATATTATTCTAAAGGCATCTAAAAGTAATATAAAGAAAATACATCAACCTCAAAATATCCTAAAAACACATCAATGGATTTTGCTCAAATCTTTTCAAACTCCTGGGGGAAAAATGTTCCTTGAATTTCACTGTTATTCTTCTTCCCTAAATTAAAATGATCTCTCATATCTCAATCTAAACGCCATGCTTTCTACTAACACATAAACACTTACCATCCTCCTCAGGCAACTCCTCTGGACTAAGTTCTACCAATTCGAAGCCATGTTTGATGCACCATTCCTGAGCTTCTTGTCGGTTTACACCTACAGTAATATGCAAAATAATCTTTTTAATAATGTGGTTATTAGGAGGAACTGGTCTTCTAAAAAATGAAAAGCCCCTTTTTAAATGAAAAAAAATTAAATTTAAAATAAATTTTTTTTTTGTCTTTTTTTGTCTTTTTCCGTGTCCGGCAATGGATCGCAACCCTCAGTGTTACCCCCGTACCGGGCCGGGGACCGGCAACGGGATTGCAACCCTCGGTGTTGCTCCCGCGCCTCGCTCAGCCAGTGAGCGGGAACCGGTCAGTATGTGGGATCCGAACCCTCGGGCGTGGTTATTAGGAGGAACTGGTCTTCTAAAAAATGAAAAGCCCCTTTTTAAATAAAAAAAATTAAATTTAAAATAAATTTTAAGATTTTTATCTTTGATAAGGCACATTGCAAAACTAACTTTTTAAATGTCTTCATCAAAACCAGAAAAAATAAATTTTAAGATTTTATCTTTGATAAGGCACATTGCAAAACTAACTTTTTAAATGTCTTCATCAAAACCAGAATTGTTACTCTTAAATTAACAGAACGTCTGTGCCAATATTATCCTATCTCTTTAAGAAATCAGCAGTTCTTCCCACTTAATTTCTACCTGAAATCTTAATCTTTTATTTAGTGACAATCAATTCCATAGCAACCAGCTACAATGTCCCTCATGGAGCATTATAACAAGTTCTGGTGTGTAATATGCAGGAGAAACAGATAAGTTATTAAAATCAAAGATTCTGTTTTCATGTAAATTTCTCACAGAAAAACAACTCCTAGATCAAAGTCTATATTGCATTCAAAGCTAACATTCCGAACGTCAAGCAGGTGGCATAGCAATATGTGGCTGTGTTTCTAAGAGCTGAATACTGCCCAGCCAACACACATACCATAACATGCCAATAAATGTACATATGGAAGAAAGCAAACTAAACCAAAGAGAGTAGCAAAAAATGTATAAACTGTTTTTCTAAAAGGGTGGGAGGAGCTACCATATGAAATCCGTCTTCATTCATGAGTAAGTTATTTAAAATAATGACTTGATTTTTGTAAAGGGATAGAATAATAAAATAATGAATTCACTTGTCGTTAAGGAGCAAAATAAAAAGGCAAAAGGGACTGATATTCTTATATTGCCACAACCAGATCTTGATATTTTCTAAACTGGTTGTATAATTAAAAACTGGAATCAAATTTAGGTTATGCTTTTTTCAAATTAATGCCTTCAACTAACATGAAAAAATAAATCAATTAAAATGGCATATACTTACTAACTGCAATTTAGAATATTGGATCCATTAAAAATGGCTCATCCTATTAATATTTAGAATACAAGAAAACAAACCAATGTTCATTACTCAGAGCTCCTAAAATTTCAATTTTCTACTGCCTTTTTAATTTTAAATAATTAAGATATTTACTTAACACACAGAAAGAAGCTATTTCTTTCTCCTTTCTCTAAACCTAGATGGGAACAGAACCAATAAGTTAGGAAAATGAATTTCACATTTCAGTGATTTAGTAGCTGCGTAGGTTTTTGTTTTTGTTTTATTCTCTGGGCTGCCTAAAACAAGTTGATAGCTCGATTTACTTATCAGATGTTTTTCATTTTTAACATTTTATGTCTAATCAGATACTTTCTGCGAGGCTGCATATGGACTTTATTATCACATCTGTGCCATATTAGAACTAGCGAGAGAACAGTAAAAACTCTCATTCTAGTTCTTATCATCAATATCATAATGTAGAGTTTAATTTAAAAAATGTAAATGTCTACACTAAATATAGCTTTCCTCCCTTATCCTTTAAATTTGGTTTCAAATGCTTAATAAGTTTATTCTTTTCCGAATTAAAACAGAATTGTTCAAATGCTTGTGCACACAGCTAAGAGTTTCTAGAGATCAGCCAATATAATCCACTCGTTTCAAAGATGAGAAAACTGAGGGCCAGAAAAAAACAGCAACTTGCCTAATAGAAGAGCCTAAAACTGAATTCAGGTCACCAGCATTCTTTCCTACTATACTGTGATGTTACAATACTTAGCTTCTGAGTTAGGCCACACTCAAGTCTCTAACAGTCACAAGCCAAAACTAACATATGGACATAAAGTATCGTTTGCCCTTTTAGGAACACCAAAAACAATAGCCAGAATGAGGTCACCATTATATATGGACCTACGGCACAATTAACCCATTAGAAACCTGTGTACAGCATTTGGATATTTATATGTCAAAGGTGAGTCATACTGATGTTGAGGGCTGTTTTTGCCAGACAGACTTCCTAGAAAAACTTGCAGTGGTCTCCCTTTTCTGCCCTTCATTAAACTGAATCTTGATGCAATCAACTCTGACATGCACTAATAAAATCAAGAGCAGCTTCACCCTCCTCGATGTGGATGTCAGCCTGTCTCATTCACACTGTTGGCAGCCACCTGGTGGAGCTGTAATACATCATTTTTTAAGAGACAAAGACTAGGTGATCGATTGCCAAGTCTATTATTACAAACTTGGTTTCACAGCTTAAAATAGTTCATCTGTAGTGCTACACGAGAAGTTACACGTCAACCCAGCTCCAGTCGCAAGTATAAACCTTTCCCCTAGTTTAAGTACAAGCGTAAACCTCTTTCCCTATTTGAGAAACTGTTTTTACATAGACACCAATTCCTGAGCAATTCCTATTTATTTTCTCACTTCCTTGGTGAATTTATTTCCCACATGGCAAGTTATTGAAAAGAAAGATTCAGGAGATTTGAAGGAAGCTGTATGCAAAGGCAGCGTTTCAGTTTATTACCCAACATCTCCCTCTTCCTCTTGCCCAGCTTTGTGCTACTCCCTGTCTATCCTAATGTCCCTTCAGTCAGAGAAAGAGTAAATTTGGTAAGCAATCGAATGAAAGAAAAAAGGCAGCTAGCTTTCTGTGCTTCAGAATCCTTAAGAGGTGATACTCTCTTTAGCATGAATAAGGAAGCCAATTGAAGTTTATGGTGAATTCCCAAAACACCACAAATATCCTCTTTCACACACACACTTACACACACAAAACATATATGCATATTTCTTACCTTACTCCCTCACCTATCCACCTCAGCTCCCCCCACAACCAAAATAAGTGCATTCCAAATTAAGAGCATTGATACTGTTTTGGATTATTCATATCTCTTTCAGTACTAGGATAATTAAGTACACTTTTAATACCAGTAGAATTAACGTACACTTAAGTAATTGTGACATTCTTTGTGAAGAGTTGTCCAGTGGTTAAACCATATTTTCTATGCCCTGAGGGAAGAAACAGCTGCCACCTCAGATCAAGATGGTCCTTTCAGAAACCAGCACTTTTCTGAGAATGCAAAGTTTGTGTTATCCTTTCTCAGAAACTGAAACTGCCTCTACAGCCAGGCATCATAACCACCCACCCCAGATATGAGTGTCTTTCATGAGACACTTTCAGAAGTGTCTCTCTTCTAGAGACCCGAAGTTCCTCTCCCTTCCCTTTGCGAAGGCAATACTAACCAGCACAGAAAAGACTACATAAAACAGAGACAGCACAGACCTGGGTCAGACAGACCTGCCTGTGAGAGCCGGCCCTCGGCAAGACCTTGGGCACATTAATATCCCTATATCTCATATCCTCACCTGCAAATGGGGACAAAAACACTCCTCAAATGACTTTTCAATTAAATGGAACACCGCATAAGAAAGTACAGGCACTGGGCACAAAGGAGGCCCTCAGTAAATGCTCATTTCCTTCTTCTCAATTCAGTTTTTTGCATAAGTGACAGACTCCTGACTAGAGGGTAGGTTGGAGAGGCACTGAGGAGAGTCAGTAAGAAACATATAACAATTAGGAAATAACCACCTACTTTAGGCTGCTCTAGACCTCCCTTCTACCCCTGACCACACCCTAAAATATGCCGTCCTGAATTCCGCCCCCCCCCAGCTTAGAAAGGAGTATGGCCAGTTGCCAAGGCAGAGAAAAGATGTTTACTCCATATCACAAGATATGCCATGAGAAGAAAGCAGACAGTGTTAGAATGACTCGATACGTTTTTTATAGAGAAATAAAACACTTTAATTCTCAATGCTTGTAATGTTCTAAATTCAGTGTGCTAAATAAATATTAGTTTTACCTTTAAAAAAATGTTTTTTTCATTGTTAAGGCATATACTGAGACAGAAGAGAAAGCAATTAGGAAAATTATAGGAGGCAGCAGAGTCTGATGTAAGCTGAAGGGGAAAGTGCCCGTTACAAAAGAAAGGAATTGAGCAAATGTGATTGGTGAAAAAACAGGAAACCCAGAGTGTTCATTACCCAGCAAGGCAAAAGAGAGGCCTTTAAAAATCATAATGGGTCCATACTGTCGCAACCAGTTACAATTTCACAGCCACAATTTCATGAGAATGTCTTATAAGAAAAGGTACTGCTCTGTCAAATACAAATAAAACTGTGCAAGGTTAGAGTTGGAACTTTAACACAGACAATTACCAGTAAATTCATATCTGGGATTTCCTGAGTAATCACACCCCAGCCTCCTGGTGCAAGTATACGCAATATTTGTCTCAGTCCATATGGCAGGTCGTATTAAGTTGCTGAGGGAAGAATAACTGGATTGAGTTAAAGCAACATACCACTGCCTTAACAATAGTACAGAGATTCTGGTTTGCTCACAACACTTAATTACTTCTCCCTGACACTCCTTCTCTCTACTCACACTCTAAATTCAAATTTCCACATGCTCTTAGGCTTTTTATATCACAGTGGAAAACTTTTAATAATTGAAGCAGAGGAAATCCAACCCAGTCCTCCTCCTTTTCCTCAAGTTCTCAATAGTCATCTGGAATTGGTCACCACGGCTTCACCCTAAAACAATTGGGGGGAGAGGGTGGGGGAGTGTACGTTGTCTACTTGCCCTTAGAAGACTTCGCAACACAGTGAGAAACAAACATGTAAACAAGAGCATAAAGAAGGTGGCAGGAAGCGGAGAGAGAACACGGAAAAGTGTTTTATGAG